TGACGATCAAAGCAGTAGAACCTGCACCCAGCCCACTTCCCCGCGCCTCCTCTCCCTCCTCTGCGGCTATTTTCCGCCCTGCGGCTGACTCCTCCCCGCAGCCCGTCATTCCGGGATCGGAAACGCCAGCGACGACGGTGGTACCATAGGCGGAAAGCGACGACAGAATGCATGCGCACGGCCGCGCAAGGCTACTCGCGCCAGCGGACGAGGGAGGAGAGGCGGCGGAACATGACAGGTCTCTACTGTCCGCTCCCAGAGACACCGCTTCACGCGCTGTCACGGCTGCTGCTGCTGCTACGGTTCCTTGCCTCGCAGACTCTGCGTCGCCGGGAGATGCGGCGTCATGCGCGGCGGTAACCGGCAGCACGGCCCGAACCCTAGTTGGCGCGTCTAAGGTTGCCCAGGTTGACCGGTCCGCGCACGGTGAGCCCGCTAACGGTGTCCCACCGCCAAACCCACCCACTACGGCTGCAGTAGAAGAACCTTCTACCCTTTCCCCTGCCGCGAATTCCGCATCTGCTGATACGCCTGGCGGATCTCCTGCACCCGCTCCACCTGCGCGTGCGGAGATCCCCGGCGAAGAAGCCGCCTGGTATGGATCTCGCGGTAAGGGCCGCGGAGAGAAATCCGGGCAGGCGGAGCCGGACATGAGCTCTTCGCGCAGGTAGCGGTTGACGGCCCAGTGGACCTTACCGCGCACGGCACGCAGGTGGTTCAAGAGACGCGACGTGGACGCGAAGGGGCCGAGCAAGGAGCGCATTTGGCGGAGCAGCTCCGCCTCGCCCACCACGCGGTCCACGGGCGCCGCGAAGCGGGAGGTGCGCGCTGCTGGCACGGTGAAGGGCTCGTTGAAGAGCGGCGGCGGAAGCGGCGACGCTACCTGAGCAGGCGGCAACGGCAACAGGGACATGGCCGCAGGACTAGATGAGGGATGTTCCTGCGACGCCATTAGGTCACGTATTGGAGGATACTCCTCTGACCAGGCACGAATTGATGTGGTGAGAGGTATTCAGAATCGCAATAGTACATGTCTGTGGAGCAGTTGGGGTGGAATCTAGTCAGCCCGATCATTCCGAAATTGTCGAACTGGCAGCTCAGGCAGGCAGGAACAGCAGCAGCAGGTGCAGTAACGAGGGGGCATTTGGGGAGGTGATGTGCTGTCAGAAGGTGAGGCATGACATGACACCCGAAGGCATCGCTGTGCGAAGGGTGGCGGGACTGACTTGGGTCGCACAAGTCGATTTTTTACGGCTGTGCGAAAATAGGCGACCCTCGGTGCATTACGGCGATCCCACTGCTCAGCCAACACCATCCTCTAATGGAATTTGCGAAACTGGGGGATGCCACGGAGGAATCTGGGTTTTGGGAGGACAACGGCTGAAGATGCCAAAGGAGGTGATACGCAGTCACCGTGTAACCACCAATCTGGAGTGTTATGCTGGAAATGCTTTGTAAGGAATTTTCCATTCCTTACCGAGCGGTACTGCTATCACGTACGCTCGAACACACCCGAAGCCTCGGGACTGTTCCAGACCTTTCAGACAGAACCGCCTCGGCTTCTCCAGACCTGCTAGTTCGACCTTCGGGAGTTCTCCGGGCCTCGCTTCGTCACTTCGAGACCCTTCGATCTCTTTCCCGAACCTCACCATCGCATGGTTAGACTAGCTCTGGTGTTCCTATATCTTGGCTTGCCATTCCTTGTATCGTCATTCAGAGAGTGAACATCTCGTTATTCATTTCCGTGCTACTCTGCTTGCATTCATAACACCTGGTAATCAAAGCCACTTTCCTTGCTCACCCGTTTTTCGTGAGTTGATTTTTTTGGGGGGGGGGGGGGGGGTAAGTCCCTCACGTAAGCTGCAAAGCGGTTGCTCACGTAAGACTCATTAATTCGCCCAACTACGATAGCGTTTGCGCTTACCTGAGTACAGGCACATTACGGATTTCCCCCTGCCCCGGCGGAGCATTCGCCGAACGGACCAAGCTCAGTTCAACGAGCTCCGGGAGCAGTTCAACGCCATGAACACACGTATGGCTACAGTGCTGGAGGACAACGAGCGACTTCGTGCAGAAGTTGCCGAGTTACGCCAGGCGCAAGAGGATTCGCGTCAGAAAACTGCCGCCCAAGAGGAGATCGCAAGCACCGGACGTGTCGAAACCGTTTTGGACGAAATCGCACGTGAGGTGTCCCAGGAGCACAAGGAAAGTGAAGCCGCCACAGCAGCTGACGTGGCAGCACTAGCAGCAGCCGAAGCAGCAGCAGCAGCGACAGCAGCAGCCGCTACTGTAGCCGCACCGGCATTTATGCCGATCGTGACGACAGCGACGATCAAACCGACAATGCCACCCCCGTTCAACCCCACAGATAAGAATACTGCTGTTACGGGCTGGTTATTTTCGGCGAAACTTTATTTTAATGCCGCTGGGATCACTGCTGACGATTTAAAAATTCGGCTGGCTGTATCACTACTGCGGGGACCTGCGCTAGAATGGTGGCGATACACACTACAGGAGGGGGAGTTTTCGACAGGCGACACACATGGGTTTTTCGGAAACTTTGGGTCTGCGGCCCAAGGGTCAACCGCGATTTTTGGATCGACCAAGATTCGCACGTGGAAGGCGTGGGGTACAGCTCTGCGTGAACGGTTCGAGCCAATATCCGCCTCGGACAACGCACGCACGAAGCTGGACAGCTGGCGCCAATGGAGTTCTGTCCAGGATTATGCATCGGTCTTCATGGCGTTATGCGATCAAATCACCGAGATGCATGACTCCGAGAAGAAAGCTCGATTCATTTCGGGTCTGAAGCAGGACATAAAATGCGAGGTCCGACTACGACTTCCGGCGACGTTTCACGAAGCAGTCCGGATCGCAGATACTTTCGACGCACATCGGACGTATGCGAGAGCGGGTTCCCGGGAGGGAAATCGTTTTCGTGGCCAGAATCCACGGCCCACGATTCACGATGTAGAGGCGAAGGAGCACATGGAAGATTTTCGCAAGGGACAATGTTTCAACTGCCACCAGCCGGCTGTCAGAAGGGCGACCCGGCTGGTGGCAGTTGAAACATTGTCCCTTGCGAAAATCTTCCATGTGCTCCTTCGCCTCTACATCGTGAATCGTGGGCCGTGGATTCTGGCCACGAAAACGATTTCCCTCCCGGGAACCCGCTCTCGCATACGTCCGATGTGCGTCGAAAGTATCTGCGATCCGGACTGCTTCGTGAAACGTCGCCGGAAGTCGTAGTCGGACCTCGCATTTTATGTCCTGCTTCAGACCCGAAATGAATCGAGCTTTCTTCTCGGAGTCATGCATCTCGGTGATTTGATCGCATAACGCCATGAAGACCGATGCATAATCCTGGACAGAACTCCATTGGCGCCAGCTGTCCAGCTTCGTGCGTGCGTTGTCCGAGGCGGATATTGGCTCGAACCGTTCACGCAGAGCTGTACCCCACGCCTTCCACGTGCGAATCTTGGTCGATCCAAAAATCGCGGTTGACCCTTGGGCCGCAGACCCAAAGTTTCCGAAAAACCCATGTGTGTCGCCTGTCGAAAACTCCCCCTCCTGTAGTGTGTATCGCCACCATTCTAGCGCAGGTCCCCGCAGTAGTGATACAGCCAGCCGAATTTTTAAATCGTCAGCAGTGATCCCAGCGGCATTAAAATAAAGTTTCGCCGAAAATAACCAGCCCGTAACAGCAGTATTCTTATCTGTGGGGTTGAACGGGGGTGGCATTGTCGGTTTGATCGTCGCTGTCGTCACGATCGGCATAAATGCCGGTGCGGCTACAGTAGCGGCTGCTGCTGTCGCTGCTGCTGCTGCTTCGGCTGCTGCTAGTGCTGCCACGTCAGCTGCTGTGGCGGCTTCACTTTCCTTGTGCTCCTGGGACACCTCACGTGCGATTTCGTCCAAAACGGTTTCGACACGTCCGGTGCTTGCGATCTCCTCTTGGGCGGCAGTTTTCTGACGCGAATCCTCTTGCGCCTGGCGTAACTCGGCAACTTCTGCACGAAGTCGCTCGTTGTCCTCCAGCACTGTAGCCATACGTGTGTTCATGGCGTTGAACTGCTCCCGGAGCTCGTTGAACTGAGCTTGGTCCGTTCGGCGAATGCTCCGCCGGGGCAGGGGGAAATCCGTAATGTGCCTGTACTCAGGTAAGCGCAAACGCTATCGTAGTTGGGCGAATTAATGAGTCTTACGTGAGCAACCGCTTTGCAGCTTACGTGAGGGACTTACCCCCCCCCCCCCCCCCAAAAAATCAACTCACGAAAAACGGGTGAGCAAGGAAAGTGGCTTTGATTACCAGGTGTTATGAATGCAAGCAGAGTAGCACGGAAATGAATAACGAGATGTTCACTCTCTGAATGACGATACAAGGAATGGCAAGCCAAGATATAGGAACACCAGAGCTAGTCTAACCATGCGATGGTGAGGTTCGGGAAAGAGATCGAAGGGTCTCGAAGTGACGAAGCGAGGCCCGGAGAACTCCCGAAGGTCGAACTAGCAGGTCTGGAGAAGCCGAGGCGGTTCTGTCTGAAAGGTCTGGAACAGTCCCGAGGCTTCGGGTGTGTTCGAGCGTACGTGATAGCAGTACCGCTCGGTAAGGAATGGAAAATTCCTTACAAAGCATTTCCAGCATAACACTCCAGATTGGTGGTTACACGGTGACTGCGTATCACCTCCTTTGGCATCTTCAGCCGTTGTCCTCCCAAAACCCAGATTCCTCCGTGGCATCCCCCAGTTTCGCAAATTCCATTAGAGGATGGTGTTGGCTGAGCAGTGGGATCGCCGTAATGCACCGAGGGTCGCCTATTTTCGCACAGCCGTAAAAAATCGACTTGTGCGACCCAAGTCAGTCCCGCCACCCTTCGCACAGCGATGCCTTCGGGTGTCATGTCATGCCTCACCTTCTGACAGCACATCACCTCCCCAAATGCCCCCTCGTTACTGCACCTGCTGCTGCTGTTCCTGCCTGCCTGAGCTGCCAGTTCGACAATTTCGGAATGATCGGGCTGACTAGATTCCACCCCAACTGCTCCACAGACATGTACTATTGCGATTCTGAATACCTCTCACCACATCAATTCGTGCCTGGTCAGAGGAGTATCCTCCAATACGTGACCTAATGGCGTCGCAGGAACATCCCTCATCTAGTCCTGCGGCCATGTCCCTGTTGCCGTTGCCGCCTGCTCAGGTAGCGTCGCCGCTTCCGCCGCCGCTCTTCAACGAGCCCTTCACCGTGCCAGCAGCGCGCACCTCCCGCTTCGCGGCGCCCGTGGACCGCGTGGTGGGCGAGGCGGAGCTGCTCCGCCAAATGCGCTCCTTGCTCGGCCCCTTCGCGTCCACGTCGCGTCTCTTGAACCACCTGCGTGCCGTGCGCGGTAAGGTCCACTGGGCCGTCAACCGCTACCTGCGCGAAGAGCTCATGTCCGGCTCCGCCTGCCCGGATTTCTCTCCGCGGCCCTTACCGCGAGATCCATACCAGGCGGCTTCTTCGCCGGGGATCTCCGCACGCGCAGGTGGAGCGGGTGCAGGAGATCCGCCAGGCGTATCAGCAGATGCGGAATTCGCGGCAGGGGAAAGGGTAGAAGGTTCTTCTACTGCAGCCGTAGTGGGTGGGTTTGGCGGTGGGACACCGTTAGCGGGCTCACCGTGCGCGGACCGGTCAACCTGGGCAACCTTAGACGCGCCAACTAGGGTTCGGGCCGTGCTGCCGGTTACCGCCGCGCATGACGCCGCATCTCCCGGCGACGCAGAGTCTGCGAGGCAAGGAACCGTAGCAGCAGCAGCAGCCGTGACAGCGCGTGAAGCGGTGTCTCTGGGAGCGGACAGTAGAGACCTGTCATGTTCCGCCGCCTCTCCTCCCTCGTCCGCTGGCGCGAGTAGCCTTGCGCGGCCGTGCGCATGCATTCTGTCGTCGCTTTCCGCCTATGGTACCACCGTCGTCGCTGGCGTTTCCGATCCCGGAATGACGGGCTGCGGGGAGGAGTCAGCCGCAGGGCGGAAAATAGCCGCAGAGGAGGGAGAGGAGGCGCGGGGAAGTGGGCTGGGTGCAGGTTCTACTGCTTTGATCGTCAAGTCTGTGTCGCAGGTGTCGCCTGGTATTTTATCGCCAGTGTCGCCTGGTACGTTGGCGAAAGGAGGGGCGACGGTGCTAGAAAGTGCGGATCGGCTGGGAGCCGTGGGCGGCAGGCAGCAGGCGCTAGCGCTGATGCCGCAGCTACAGGAGCAGGCGGACGAAGGGGGTTCGGACGCGGGGGAGAAGGGCCGCCAGGGTGCAGCGGAGCGGGATGGGGAAGGGCATGCGGAAGGCAAGGCGTTGGGGCAGAGCGAGGGGGGCGGCATGGGGGCGGTGGAGTGGGAGGCGATGCCTGAGGGGATTCTGGAGTCGGTGTTCGCACGCCTGGCGTTTGAAGATCTGGCCGCCGTACTGCTGACGTGCTCCGCGTGGCAGGCAGTGGCGCGCAATGACTGCCTGTGGAAACAGCTGTTCCTGCTGCGATGGGGACACTCCGCCACTCAAGCTGTTGTCCAGCAGCGGCAGCAGCAACAGCAACAGGAGCAGGAGCAGGAGCAGGGGCAGGAGCAGCAGGAGCAGGAGCAGGGGCAGGAGCAGCAGGAGCAAGCGCAGGATCAAGAGCAGGAGCAGGAGCTGGAGGAGCCGCAGCAGCAGGAAATGCAGGAGGGGGAACAGAAAGAGTGCACGCGTGTTAGTGGAAGCGGAAGGGCGGTGGAACCGCAGAGGAGGGTTGAGGCGGTGCGTGAGGGAGAGGCAGATCCAGCAAGTGGGGGTGGCAGCGGCGGTGGAGAGACCACAGGTGAGAGAGGAGTAGCAATTGAAGGGCTTGATAGGTGGTAGAAGTCGCAGCAAGTTGCACTCGTGCAAGCAGTTGCGAACAGGGAAGTTACAGGCGGACATTGAGCTGTAAGCAGTTAGCTAGGCTGGTAACTGGCAGGTCGTACGCAAGTCACACGAATGTAACGACCACATGGCAGAGCCATAAAAGGTAGGCTGCAGGCAGGTAGGATGCAACGAGGAGCGCTTGTGGTTGTGTGTTTTGAGATAGTGGAGGTACCAAGGAAACTCATTGTTTTGCCGTCGTGATTCTTCTCTGTTTGCGTTCAGCTCGTCCATTGCAGGCAGACCAGCAGCAGCAGCAGCCATCAGCGGCTGCAGCTCCACTTTCATGGCATGAGGCGTTTCGGCAGCGGCTGGAGAGTGAGCGGGCAGCGCAGTGCCCCCAGTGCCGGCGGTCACGCTTCGTCCCCATCGTGTACGGCTTCCCATCCGCTCCCCTGGTAGCCGGCATGCGCATGGCGCAGTGCGTGCTGGGAGGGGACCACCTGACAGACTACCCTGGGTACAACCCGCTGTGGGTGTGTGTGGGGTGCACGACGAGGTGGAGGAAGTACCCCTATGCTGCTGACTCGGAAGGGCCCTACTTCCCACCATCACTCTCGTCCTCATCTGCCTCGTCCGCGGGCCATGAGATTGACGACTTCGATGTCTGATTTGGGACATGGTCGAAGGTTGCGAGAGGGGGGAGGAGATGGGGGGATCGAGGGGAAATGGAGGATTGAGGGGACCTCCATGGGATGATGTGAGGCGGTGTGGAGATATGGAAAGGAAGGGGGTGAAAGGGGGGGGGGGGTGGGGGGGAGTGGACGCGGGAGGCATGAGGGAGCATGAATGTGGCTTGAATGTGGGGACGTGGGGGAAGGGGATGAATGAGTGATTGGTGTGGATTGTACGGGAAGGGTATCTTATGTGCTTGGTTTGCACTGAGCATGCACGAGTCGGCCCTTGTTCCTTGTGCACTAGAATGCACGAGCATGGCATGGAGACAAATTTCAGATTACACAGCATGGAATAGGCATGCCTTCGAAGGAAAGCGACAATCTTTCAAAACTTGCCTAGTATATAATATTACATGTCTTGCAAAAGTGGAGCGGCTGTAACGGTTTTGCAGACATCCACAGAAACAGGATGCGGTTTCCACCACTTTCGCGCCAACCACCACCATCCGTTGAGCTCGCCTCGTTGCATTTTACCCCCCTCCCTGCACACTCTCCTCCAGTCAGTTCGTTCGTTCACCTTTCCGTCTGATTTCCCTTCATATCGTGCTCTTCCCGTAGCTATGGCTGACGCCGCGCCTCCGCAGCCCTCTCAGGACCCCCCTGTGCTCAGTTCCAGCCCTCCAGACGCTGCGCCTGGTGCGCCAGCTGCCGCCGCGGCTCCCCCCCCAGCGGCACCAGGTCCGCCGCCCGGCGCACCACCTGCCGTCGCTACAACCCCCGCGGCTGCTCCGACCGCCGCGGCGCCGTCTGCGTTGTCGGACTTCGATCAGGCGAAGCGCAAGGCGGAGGAGCTTGCGCAGAAGTTTCTCAACGCGGGAGGCGCTAAGCGGTCCAAGTTCGACGACGGGCCGCCAGCAGGCGTCGCCGCCGCCGTGGCGCCTCCCGGCGTGAGCGGCGCTAACGGCGGAGGCCCGCCGGATGGCGTGGCGAGCTACGCGAGTGGCCCTCCCGGATCGCAAGGTCCGCCTGGTAACTGCTGCTCTGATTGCTTGGAAATTGCGGATATTTGTCGAGGCGAGCTTTCACGAGTAAAAAGAAAGCCGTGAGAGAGATCTATCTGACGTGCTGACGGAAAGATGTTGGTGGCCGTGCGCGCAGGGTATGGCGCAGGCGGTCAGCAGAGCCAGCCGGCGCCATACTACCAGCAGCAGCAGGGGGGGGCACCGCCGTACTACGACCAGCAAGGCGGCAGCACGCAGTCGAAGAAGATCGACGTGCCCAACACCCGGGTGAGTCCGCTGTCTCGTGTCAGCACAGCCGTTGCTCCCGTGCCAGATCTATACCAGATCTGTGCCTGATTTGATTCGTCGCGCAAGTCGCACGCTTCGGATACAGCGCTACCGCCCATGCTTCCTAAAGTTTCCCCCTTTTTAATAACATTTTTTTCCGTTTCACTCTGCGATCTGATTCCCCGCTTATTGGCTACGCTTACGCGATTTATTCTGACGGCAGTCAATCTCTCACGGCATTATTCGTCAATTTCGTCATGCCCGATTGTAACCGCACGCACGCTCGTCGCGGTGTGTCGTGGCGGCGTGCAGGTGGGGCTGATAATCGGCAAGGGCGGCGAGACGATCAAGTACCTGCAGGCGCAGTCGGGCGCCAAGATCCAGGTCACGCGCGACATGGAGGCGGACCCTCGCGCGCCGTCGCGGCCCGTGGAGCTGACGGGGACGGCGGAGCAGATCGCGCAGGCGGAGCAGCTGATCAAGCAAGTGCTCGAAGAGGTCCGCGCCGCCTCCCGCTCTCTTGCCCCCTTTCGCGTGTTTATCCAACCGCCAACCCCTACCCTTACTTTCTCCCGTCCGTTTCCCCTTCCTTCCCCCCCATCCTCACTCCCCTCCCCGCTCTCGTTCTCACTCTTTCCCTCCTCCCTCATTCGTGTTGTGTCCCCTCGCTCGTCGCTGTCTATCGCCTGCACCATGGCGCGCGCCACCGCTCTCTGTCTCGCCCCGTGTTCGCCCTGCGCAGTCGGCGGCGGCTAGAGCAGCAGGAGGCGGAGGAGGCGGAGGAGGCGGGGGAGGCGGAGGCGGAGGGGGTTCGTACCCTGGAGCGCAGGGCGGAGGGGAGACGGTGACCATCAAAATCCCCAACAACAAGGTGCGCCTAAGTAGCGTCTTAATGTACTCAACTTCTGCTTTCGGATAGTCGTGCCCGCTTCTTCGGCGTCGTTTCTTTCGTTCGCCAATCTGCGAGTCGCGTAACGTGCCTCGTGCTGGTTCTTTCAGGTCGGCCTCATGATTGGTCGAGGAGGAGAGACGATCAAGAGCCTGCAGGCGCGCTCCGGTGCAAGGATTCAGGTACCCATGGCCTCTTCTCTCTGCTGCTGCTGTGGTCCGCGGCGTGCCCCCAACGTTCCTTTTAGATTTGTTGCACTCTGTTCGCTCCAACCCCCCCTCCCTCCACCCGCCCTTCCCTCCCCCTCCTTCTCCCTCCCCGCTGGCCCCGCCTTCTCTTTCCCGCGCGCTCCTTGCTGCCTCGTCGAGCCGGTACATCTGTCTGACTCGCATCCTCCCTCCCCTCAACCCGCACCGGTACCCCTCGTGGCACACGCCTCGTGCTGTGTGTGTGGTGGGTGGTGTGTGGTGCGCGCAGGTGCAGAGCGACCGCGAGGTGGAGCCGGGGTGCATGGAGCGCAACGTGATGCTGATGGGCAGCAAGCAGCAGACGGACATGGCGCAGCAGCTCATCAAAGAGGTCCTCGACGACGTACGCGCCGCTCCCCCTCCCCCTCCCCCTCCCCTCTCCTCTTCCCTCTTCCCCTTCCCCCCCCCCCCCTCTCCCCCTCCTTCCTCCTTCCCGAATTCTCTCTCTGAGGCGTGCCAAGTGCTGCTTTGCGTGCTGCCTCTTGGCGTCTCTCTTGCTTCCTCGGCTCGTGTTTCCTGTCACTGCTGTGGATCCTCCATGCATCTCCGGTATTGTGTCTAATGCTGGCGAATCTTGCAAGAACGTTGTTCTGGGGTCCTTATCCTGCTACGCCCTCCTGTCTCTCCACATTGTCTCGGCCTCGTTGCGTGTGTGCGATGCTCTCTTGCTCACATGCTTTAATCACGACCCAATCAGCTTTCCGTTTCGTGCGAAATGCAAAGCGTTGCGGTTGCGATGACACGCCCGTGTTGCGGCCTACGTTTGTCACGATGCCATGCAATGTGATCCCATGCAATGCCGGTACCTTGCACTCCCATGCAATGCTGTGCCCTGTGGTCCAATGCAATGCAATGCGATGCGATGTGGTTCGATGCCTGGTGTCGTCTCACCCTGTGTGACTCCACTCCACACGGCTGGCTGTGTGGGTGTCGCTAGTGTGCAGAGCCGAGCAGGAGGCACAATCAACGCTCCACGCCGCTCGCTCTCCTCGCGTCACTGCGTGCCACGCCGCTGCGCCCTCAGCTGTCGTTTGCACCAGAGCCCACCAGAAACCACCACGCCTGGCAGGCCCATCCTCTGCCTGCGCGCTTTATTTTTAGCCATTCCTTGTTTGCATCTGCATCTCCCGCGCCCGCTTGCCGTGGACTGCGTTGCGCACTGCTGCTGCTGCCCCTCGCCTTGCTCGCTTACCGTGGTGCCACGTATTCCTTGCGTCTGGGTGGACTTCTCTTGTCTTGATTCTCTCTCTGCCTTCTCTTAGAAAGTGTTGTGCTGCCCCTCCTTCCCTGCCCTGACTCCCTTCCGTGTCTGCCCTCTCTCGCTTTCTGCCCTTCCCTTACCTCTCTTCCATCGACCCTCCGCATCCCCCCCCCTCCCCCCAACTTTCCGCTGTTCCTGCTCTTCACCGTCTGATCATTACTTCATTATAAATTCCTGCCTTTCTGCTTCTCTTGTTTCTCTTGTGTGCTCTCCCGTTCCCCTCCCACCCCCCCGTGCCCCTCCCCTGCGCTGTCTCGCTCCTTGTCTTGCTCGCGTGCCTCTGCCTTGCTCGTCTCCCTCCCGTCTTGCATGCATCCCCGTGCTTGTCCTGCCCTCTCTCCCTTGCCCCCCCCCCCCTTGCCGCGTCCCTTCCCCTTGCTTGTATGCTTCTTGCATGCTTCCTTCTCCTCGCTTGCTCTCTTGCTCTCTTGCCCGCTTGCCCTCGCCTCTCGTCCTCCCTCCCCCTCCCTCGCTCTCTGTATCCCTGTCTCGCTGTCGTGCAGCCTCGCCGCTCTGGTCCTGGCGGTGGAGGGGGAGGAGGAGGCGGGGGTGGTTACGGGGGCCAGCAGGGTTACCGCTCTGGCCCTGGCGGCTGGCAGGGGGGTGCGGGAGGGGGCGGCTACCAGCAGCCGCCGCCGGGGCAGCAACAGCAGCCGCAGGGGGCGGGATACGGGGGGTACAGTGGGGGGCAGTATGGGGGGGCGCAGCAGTATGGGCAGGGGCAGGGCTATGGGGGGTACGGGGCGCAGGGGGGAGGAGGGGGGGAGTACCAGCAGCAGGGGGAATGGGGTGCGGGTGCGGCAGCAGGGGGGCAGCAGCAGCCGCCGCCGGCGCCAGCAGCGCAGCCGCCGCCAGCAGCACAGCCGGCAGCGCCGCCAGCGGGAGGTGCAGCAGCAGGGGGCGGGTATGACTACTATGCGCAGGGGGCACAGGCGCCGCCTGCGGGCGATGGGGCGTATGCGTATGGCGCACAGCAGGGGGGGCAAGGTGGGTACTATGGGTACCAGCAGGGGTATCCGCCACAGCAGGGGCAGCCGGCAGCTGGGGCAGGGGGGTATGCAGCGCAGGGGGGGGGGTATCCGCAGCAGGGGTACGAGCAGCAGGGGTATAACCAGCAGGGGTACGCGCAGCAGGGCTATGGGGCGCAGCAGGGAGGGTATGACTACTACGGGCAGGGGCAGCAGGTGCAAGGGGGGCAGGAGGCTTATGGGCAGCAGCAGCAGGCGGGGCAGCCACCGGCAGGGCAGGTGTATGCAGGAGCAGCAGGGGCGGAGGGTGGGGCGCAGGGAGGGTATGACTACAGCGCTGCTGCCCCGCCTGCTGCTGCTCCTCCTGGCGCCTCTTAGCTTGCCTGGCTCAGGGGGTTGTGTGCTGTCAAGGCATCCTTCCCCACCTACCGTCCGCTTGCCTGCCCAGTGGTCCGCTGCTGTGAATCTGTTGTGTTATGTTTAGCTTTGATTTCCTGCCCCGTCTGTTGCCTCCACTGATTGAAGCTGGGGGGCGATGCTCGGAAGCTGCCATGCGCTATGACGTATGGCTATGTGCCCATTTTGCTTGGGTGAGATGCCATTTTGATTTTACCTTGGCAGTGCTAATTTTACATCATTTCTAGCACATTTTTCAGGGGTTGTGTATGCAATTTCATTTTAGTGCCCAAATAATGAAGCCAAGCATAGCACACTGCTAAGATGGGATGTAAAGCCAAACCCAATGCAACAGTACTCATCCTAGAGAGCAGAGCAACTCACATCAGTCTCATTTACACCACCACACCAGTCCACATTTATTTCTAAAACCCGAACCTAAACCCCCCATCGCCCACATCAGCCGCTTGCTCCCAGAACGCAGCCTTCTGCTTGCGCCTCCTCTCGCGCTCCTCCTGGCTGCGCTGCTCCGCCTCCAGCAGCCCCGGGCGGTGCCGCTCCAGGCACTCCCGGAAGTGCTGGTGCAGCCCCTCGCGCTGCCCCTCGCCCATGCCCGACACCAGCACGCGCGCATTCGGCTTCTGCAGGAACTGCAGCACGTCCAACAGGTTCGCCCTGGGGGAAAGGGGAAAAATGGTGACAAGAGGGACAACAGTGATGGGAGGAAGGAAAGGAGGCATCGTGCGGGCGAATGTGCCTGTGGTGTGCATGGTGAGCCTGGTGTGCATAGTGAGCCTGGTGTGCATGGCATGCACAAGCCGTAGCATACCGGGAGACATAGTTCTGGGTGACAGCGATGGACTCCTCCAGGTTGAGCACAATGTGCCACCACCCGTGCGGCACAAACATCACCTCGCCCGCGCGGCATACACCCTCATACGCCGTCACGGGCCCGCGCCTCATCGCCTCATAGTAGTTCATGAACCACTCCGTGATCGACACTGGTGCCGCCACGTCCGCGCCGTCGGGGCTCGCGCGCACGCCAGGTGGCGGGCCGTCGTTGGGCGGGAAGAGAATCCACTTCTTGGAGCCGGTGATGACGGCGTTCCACGCGCACGTGGAGTTGGGGTCGATGTGCCACGACGACCCCGACCGCGCCGGGCCCATGATCAGCCACCGAAAGTCAGGCCGGCCACTAGGCGACTCCTTCCCTTGCCCTTCCTCCCCTTCCCCACATTCCTCCCCTTGCCCCATCCCACCTGCACTCCTCTCCCCTGCACCCGCCTCTCCCCCCTCTCCCCCCTCTCCTCCCTCTCTCCCCTCCTCCAGCACCTGGAACAGGTCCTCTCTGAAGTACTCGGGCACCTCATAGTCCGCCACCAGCGCCGGCGCCTTCTCCCCGAAGCGCGGGTCGAACACGTACAGCGGCCGCTCCTCCTGCACGCCGTTCGCGTACCGCCAGTACTGCTCCAGGCTCAGATCCACCGGGCCGCATGCGAATGTGTTGCCGCCAGCAGCGGCCAGCAGGTACTCGCGGTCGCGCCAGCGGGACAAGGCGGGCCAGTGGTCAATGGCACCTGTGATGATGACGGGCCGCCCAGGCCGCTCAAAGCGGGCGGCGAAGTCGGCGGGGGAGAGTGAGGCGGCGGCAGCGCGCGGGATGTTGTCGTGGGCGGTCCAGGCGGGTGGGAGGGCGAGGCTGGTGCAGAGCCAGCTCTGGAAGAAAAAGTCTGAATAGAAGTCCGGCACCTGGGGGAGGGAGAGGGGCGCGGGCGAGTTTTGGAGGTTTGGGCGCAAGGGCAGGGGGCAGGGGACAAGGGAAGGGCGGGGTGAGCAGGGGAGAGCGAAGTGGGCAGTGGGGAGTGAAGAGGGACGGGGGAGTATGGGGGTGGAGGGAGGGGATTTGAAAGCAATGTCAGACCAGGCTGCGGGGGTCTGGGTTTAGTGGTGAATACACGACATCCGTATCTCTAGGAGTAAAGGGTGGGAGACAACCAGCCTCGGAGCATCGTGCCACACCTTCAATGGCGGCTGGTACTGCAACGCCCCGCGCTCCTCCCCATGCTTCGTCTTCCGCTTCAGCCCCTTCCCCACCCTGCCTGCCTCCCCCTCTTCTCCCCCCTCCCCCTCCTTCCCCTCCTTCCCTTCCGCTTCCCCCGCCCCCTTTCCCCCTTCACCCGTGCGCCATTTCACGTACGTCCAGCGCCAGCTCGCCTCCCATCGGAAAGCGCCCCCCGCGTCCTCCACCACCAGCGCGCGCCACAGCTCCTCCTGGTGCGCCACCACGTGCAGCGCGCGGCTCGCCATGCCCACGTGGCACAGCGACGCGGCCGGCAGCCGCCCCACGATGTCCAGCAGGATCGGGTCCGGCAGGCGCCGCAGCGCGCCGAGCCCGGCGTCGCGCGCGTTGCGGAGGGGTTTAGAGGGGTTCTGGTCGGCGCGCAAGAAGAGGTTCCCCAGCGGCTGCACGCCCAGCGGGTGCCCACCTCGCTCCAGCCCGAACCGCTGCCGGCTGCTTCCGCTGTCGGGAAGGGTCGAGTTGGTCTTGGCTTCGTCGTCGTCCTCCCCCAAGTCGAACCGCACTCGCCGCCCCTCGCTGCGCCTTCGCCGCTGCTGCTCTTGCTGCTCTTGATGCTGCTCTGGCTGCGGCTGCGGCTGTCGATCGTTCGATGGCAGAGCGCCTCCCGGCAACAGGGTGTCTTCCCCCACGACAGCTGCCTGGGAGGGCGGAACGCGCCGTTTTCTACTTGTGCGGAGAGCCGTGCGCGCAACAGAGTATCGCGAGCGGCGGAAGCGGTGAATGCGGCGGGGGAGGGAGGCGGCGCCGAGGAAGCGGTGGAAGAGGCCGAGAGGCGTCCATTCGAGCGCGCTGCTGGCGAAGGCGGGGGACGCGGAGACGACGGGAGGGGAGTGCGCCGCAGAGCGCGCCTTGGCAGTCATGGCTGATGCAGAGTAAACGACAGAAAGCAGAAAACAAGCACAAAGGGCGCGGTGGTTGCGGCGGTACCCCAGAGCGTTTGGGGTGGCGGAAATGCAATGGTGGAAATGAAGCAGGAATCGTGGGCATATGGACAAAAGATGATGGACGGTTGAACGCGGTAAGGACAATTGGGGTTTCTTCATTACAAGGTTTCTGAGTTACAGCGGCAGTGAAAATACAGATATTTAGGAACTGTGAACATCTCATAGTAGTCAGTCTTGAAAGTCGTGCTTGAATACCCTTTTTTCCCTCACAATCGACAACACACAATCAAACATCCATGCTACAAGGAAAGCAGAGGTCCATTGAACAGCCCTAGGGCGTTTAACACGAGTACATATACAGTTTGTATCTTGCGGTGAGTAAGTTTCGTGCTGTTTGTAGAGGTCTAAGGCGGCTGAGTACAGCATGAACCATGAGATGTACTCTTATGGCACGGCCTTATTGCCAACCATCATACATACACGGGGTGCCTCACATAGCCCATCATACAACAGACAAGCAAAGAAAACAACGCATGGTTACCTTCATGCCAATGCCAAGCAGCAGCCTGGTCAAAACCAACTCCACAACTACAAGCTACAAATCAGGTCACGTAAGTACGGGCGAGAGCACCCGGATGTTCTTGTATCTTGCAAAGATGGCCCAGTTGGGGTTGCCAACCGTGGACGCGCTTCTGTTCCCCGCCCACCACCCGTTGCCGGCGCTGCTGGCGTCCCACATGCTGGCATAGAAGAAGGCGGGCTTGGAGGGGAACGCCTTGGACGGCACGGGTGAGGAAGATTTCTTCTTGGTGGGGGGCAGGGTGGAGGACGCGTTGTACTCCACACGCACCGCCTTATAGTCGATGAACCAGCTGCGGGGGCGAGTGGGGAGGGGAGGAGAGGAGAATGAGAGGGAGGAGAGAATGGGACAGGAGGCAGAGAGCAGCGTGGAGGTTGCTGGTACTCCACGCGCACAGTCTGTGAATCAGCTGCGGACAGCGGAGGGGTGGGGTGGGGAGGGGGGGGAATGGAGAGGTGAGGGAACGAATGCGTGAGGACGAATGTTTCTTGCTGGCGGTGGGGAGCAGGGTAGAGGATGCATTGTGCTCCGCCTGCCCCACCGTGTAGTCAATGAACCAGCTGCGGTTGGGCAAAGGGATGCGGAGGGGGGTTAATGGGAGAACGGGAGGGAGGAGAATGAGATGGGAGGGGAGGGAGCAGGATAGAGGGGTAGCAGTGCAGACAAGGGAGCAAGATTGCAGGGGAGGGGGGCTAGGTAGGTGGGACAACGCATGGCAAAAAGCAGAAGGGGAGGCAGCACAAGAGGCAGCAGCAGAATGCTGTGAGGCAGCACACGACACTCTGCACAGCAGCACAGCACGTACACGAGCTGTCGGGGCGACCAGAGGATGGCATAGTTGTGGAAGTCCTGCGAGCAGTCGAAGCCCAGGTCGATGAGCTTCTCGCGCCCGCCCACGCCGCCAACGTAGAAGTTGGTCTGCACCTGCGACTTGTTCTTGCCCAGCCACTCAAAGTCGATCTCGTCCTGAATGCCACTGCCCTCCAGCGACGACATCTGCACCACCAAGGAAAGCACCCGTGGGGGCAGAGTGGCATGGAGTGGAGAACAGATTCGGGTCGCATTCCCATTTTTGCACCATATACAGCAAGTCGTCTAGCCTGTCTCTCTCAAAGGGCGGTGTGTCTGTGCAGGGAACGTACATAGAAGCTGGTGACGATGCCGCTGGTCAGTCCCGGTGCACAGCGCACGTCGCCACTGATGAACGCAAAGTAGAAGGGCAGCGACGACCGGAACCGAGAACCTGCCATGCACAGTGCCACGGGAACAGGAGCAGCTACGGTATCAGCTCAGCTCTCCTCACAAGCTCGCCCTCTCTCCCTCGCAAAATCGCACGTGTCTACGCCTCCGAGCCGCACAATCCATCCCATCCGAAGCACAAGACGCACCACAGCGGTTGTCATAGCGGATGGTGGCGGAGCCGTCGGTGCTGTTGGCGCAGGAGAGGCAGTGGTCGTCGCAGTAGTCCACCATCAGCGGCGCCATGATGCTGCCGTTGATGGCCGGCCACTTCACTGCGGGCGGCGCCTTCTTCGGGGGCGCGGGGCCCACCTGAGCCATGAGTGGTGCGATCACAGTGATGCCTGGGGAAGGGAAGGTGGGGGGAGATGGGGGTGAGGGGACGGATTGTGGAGCGACCTAGGTGCGAAAGGCTTCAAGCTGAGAAAGGCGTAGGGGAGGCACGAAGCCAAGGCAGAAACCTTAGGTACCTTAGCACTAACACTCTCACACGTACCTGCCCACGAGCCAACATTGGTGTAGTTGGCAGTGGCAACACCGGCGCGCTTGGCCATGTTGGTGCTGGTGGCGGGTCGGAGCGTGCCGTACAGGTACATGGGCTGTGTGGGGTACGCGCGCTTGGGGCGGAACAGCAGCAGCCGCACCAGCACCTGGTCCACGTACCACCTGGAGCGTTGGGATGGGGGGAGGATGGGCGAGGCGTGGACTCAATGAGAAGGTTGGCACGGAGGGTAGCGGCACGGAGGGCAGCGGCACGGAGGGTAGCGGCACGGAGGGTAGCGGCACGGAGGGTAGTGGCGCGGAGGGTAGTGGCAGGGTAGTGGCACGGGGGTAGTGGCACGGAGGGTAGTGGCACGGAGGGTAGCGGCACGGAGGGTAGCGGCACGGAGGGTAGCGGCACGGAGGGTAGGGGCACGGAGGGTAGCGACACGGAGGGTAGGGGCACGGAGGGTAGGGGCACGGAGGGTAGGGGCACAGAGGGCAGTGGCACGGAGGGTAGTGGCACGGAGGGTAGTGGCACGGAGGGTAGTGGCACGGGGGGTAGTGGCGCAGGAGGTAGTGGCAGTCACAGAGGGTAGCGGCACGGGTCGTAGCGGTACGGGGTATGAGAGGATCAGGAGGGTGGGGTGGAGAGGGGATGGGTGTGCCATGGGCTGCCAGCATCTTATCTCACACACACCTTCCAGTGCTGCACACACGCTGGCACCCCACATGGCACACATTGAACGGCACATCACTACTCACGCGGTGTACTTGGCGTCCCAGTAGATGGTGTAAAGGTGCGGCGCGGCGTCGCAGGAGAAGTTGAGCGGCACGGACACGGGGTACGCGCGGCCGTTCACGTGGTGCGTGGCCAGCACCACCGCCTTGCTGGCGCCGGGGAAGTCAAAGCTCACCCCGCTGTGGTTGCCCTCACCGGCCATCGTGCTCAGCTGGTGCCGCGCACACCGGGGGGGGAGGGAAGGGGGAAGTAAGGAGGGAGGCGTAAGAGGGGGGGCCTAGTGAGCGGGGAGGGAGGAGGACAGGTGGGGGGAGAGAGTTGGGAAGGTTTACTGGAATGGGGTGGGGTGGGGGCGACAAGAAGGGGGAAGGATGGGGAACGATAAGATTTGAGATGGGCATAACGAGGTGAGAGGTGGTGCGAGAGAGTGGGTTGCAGAAAGGGGCAGCACGGAGAGGAGAGATAGCAAGAGCGAGAGAGAAGCGGAAGGTGGGTATGGGGCGCACGAAGAAGGAGAAGAGCAGTCCCGAGGTGTCGTTGGCAGGGCACGCCATCCTCGCCTGGAACACTCCTGACGAGTACTTGGCCAGCGACTGCCACCGAGACCCTGCCATGGCCATGGATGGAGGGATGGAGGGATGCATGCAAGGGAGGTGGGGGAGAGGAGAGCAGGGAAGGAAGGGTGCGGACAGGGGGAAGGGAGAGCGGGTGATGGTGAGAGCTGGGAAAGGGAAGGGCTGGGAGAGCAGTGACAATGAGCGGAGCTACTTTATCATACACATGGGCGGGCGTACCTTTTGTGACGGTGGCGCTGCTGTTGCCGCTGTCGGACGTGACGTTGACGGAGTTGCCGCTCACGCGCACGTTGCGCGCGCCCATGGGCACCAGGATGGTGCTCAGCGCCTTGCCCGCCGTGAACAGCCCGTACCACGGCCCCGGAGGCGGAGGGGAAGGCGGGGGAGGGGGAGGGGTCTTTGGGGGTGGGGGCGGGAGGGACGGCGGGGCAGCAGCAGCGGCGGAGGCAGCTAGCTTTCGAGAGGCTGAGGAGGGGACAGCGGCTGGGAAGAGCTCAGATGGTGGGGCTGGCGGGCTGTGGTGCTGGGATGTGGGTGATGGCTGCTTCTTCTTCTTGTCGTCCTTGTGCCCCTGCTGCTGCTGCTGCTGCTGCTCATGCTGCTGATGACTGCTGCTGCCATGGTTGACGGAGGAACCACCAGGTGATCCCATGAGCCCCCTCCCATGCGCATGTGACTCGACAGCCTTCTCACCCGTTTCTGCCCCTTCCTCCCTTCTCTCCTCGCCGCCTTTTCCACCAGCAGCAGCAGCAGCAGCAGCAGCGAGGGTGGCGGCAACAGTGGAGTGCATGTGAGCCTCTGCATCCTTCGCGCTCTGCATGTGCTGCCGCGCCTCCTCCGCCGCCCATGCCTCCGCCTCTGCCTGGGCCTGCAGCGCCGCACTCTCCTCCATCTCCACCAGAAGCCGCTGCTCCGTGCTCTGCGCGCCAGCGCTGGTGGGCGCAGAGAGAGGGGGGGTGACGTGATTTCGGCAACGCATAGAGGTAGACGTGTGTGGGTGTGTGTCGATAAAAGTCGCACGCGTGTTTGCATGAGGGGTGTCAGGTGTCGTGAGGGTGTGGGGGAAGGTGTGGGGCGCAGAGAAGGTGAGAGGGCAAGAAGGGGAGGAGCAGGGGAGAGAGAGGGCGGACGGGGGTGGTGCGAGACATACGCGTAGCAGGTGGGCATGGAGAGGGTGACGTCATCGATGGCCGCACCAACGTCAGCACCAGCATCACGGCCCCCCTGAGCGGGCACGGAGCCAAAGGTGAGCTCGGAGCGCGCACCCGCCGCCATGAAGGTGAAGCGCTTCACCGTCCACTCTTGGGTCTGCCGTGGCGCGGGGGGGGAGGGGGGAGACGAGGGGAGGGTGAGGTTCAAGGGGAACGTGACGGCAAGACGAGGGGGAGGTGAGGGGAAGCGAAGGGGAGGTGAGGGGGAGGTGAGGGGGAGGTGAGGGGGAGGTGAGGGGGAGGTGAGGGGGAGGTGAGGGGGAGGCGAGGGGGAGGTGAGGGAGAGGTGAGGGCGAGGTGAGGGGGAGGTGAGGGCGAGGTAAGGGGGAGGTGAGGGGGAGGCGAGGGGGAGGTGAGGAGGAGGGGCATTGAGCAGCTGAGTGTGGGGATGAGCATGGACCATTCCCTGTGCCTCGCCTCACACTCTCACTCCGCTCTCCTCTTGCCTCTTCCACGCCAGGCACCATCTACCCTCGCCTCTCATTCTCCCCCCCCCACACTCACTCCTCTCTCCCCTCTCTATCACTTCTCCCTCCCCTCGCTCTCTCTCCCCTCTCACCATCTTCTCATGCAGCACGTCGAAGTGCAGCTGCTGACTCGACGCCACGTCAGCCACGGAGAGCATGACGGCGGCGGGCCAGCCGTCCACGTGGTGCGATCGGATGACGAACGACCCCTCGTACACGCACCCCGCGCGCGTGGGGAAGGTCTGGGATACCGCTTGCGCGGGGACTTGGGGGGAAGAAGGAACGAGGGGGGGGAGAGGGGGGGGGTGAAGGAGAGGTGCGGGGCGAAGGGCGCGCGAGGGAGGGTGAGATGGCGAAGCGAAGCGCGGGTGCATGGAGGGGGAAACGGGGAGCGCTAGGGGTGGGGGAGGGGAAAACAGGGGGACAATGCGGCGGCAAGAATGGGTGGTGCAAGGCTACCTGAAGGGATGAGGAGGTACTGTTGCGGCAGCGATGCGACTTGCCCCTGCCCCTTGCCCCCTCCTTTATCTCCCGACATCAGCATCTGCAGTTTAATCCGCGTCCCCACCACGTCCCACCCCGCTATGCGCCGCGCTACTGGGCCAACTGCTTCGCGGACTACGCTCATTGCGCTAGCGAGGTTTGCGCTGCTGCCGGGCGCCGCTGACTCCGCAAGGTCGAACCCCCCGTTGAGCAGCAGCGGCTGCTTGGGCGCTGGGGGCGCCGGGGAGCGGGGGGGGTTGGGGGGGGGGGGGGGGAAGGGGAGGGTGTAGAGGGGATGAGAGGGGGGCGAAGGGGGTGGGAGGTGAGCACGGGATGGGCGAAACTTGAGAGGACTCGCCCAACGTGGGTGCGTGATCGCGCGCGTGGGGGGAATACGCACTGGAAGCGGTGGCGGCGGGAGCGCGGAGGAGGGCGATGAGCAGCAGGAGGCACGTCAATGCGCGGCGCTGTGGTCTCGCAGCGTGCGGAGCGGGCCGCGGAGATAGACCGCCTTTAGAACGAGCCCTCAATGCCATGGGCCCAAGCTGTTTCCGGAAAGGCCGTGCAAGAGGGGTGCTGCTGCTGCTGCTGCTGTTTCCAGCTATTGATTCACAGGCGCCGAATGGCTGTGGAACGCTCCGGTCCGCGGCGCTGCTGTGCATAAACCTTGAGACAGTATTCCGTGATTTTAAAATCTAAAGAGCCCGGTGCAAGTGGCAGAATCTCGGTTCACTAGCGTGGAGACGACGGGGAAGAATGACGATGCTAAGCGGTGTCCATGATAGAAGCTGAGTCTGTTTTCGCGAATCGAACGGGCATTCATCGCACCGACGCATTGGCGAGGCGGCGGCACGAGCGGCCACTACGCTGTGGGCAGCACGTCACTGATTGGGAACGACGCGCATCGGACGCGCAGAGACGGATGGAAAGGGAGGGGAAAATAGGATGGTAGGGCGCGTGAGAATGCGAGCAGCGGGAGGCACGGGAGAGCTTCCAGCTAAGAGCACGACGACCACCGGTGTGACCAGAAGGAATCGGCGCCACTGGTGGTGCTTGGCTGGCGTGGCGAGGAGACGAGCTGGTGTCGCAGTGGAAGTAACACGGTTTGGATTAATGGTGGTGCGAGGCAGGGCAGGGCTAGTACAGTAGTCGTAGGCGCAAGGGCCGTGGTCTGGGCAGCTTGGATCACCTTTGGATGGTGACGTGACGTGACTCCCGAGGGGGGTATTAGCGGAGGCAATGTGGGTTTGTCTGGTCGTAGGAGAAAAGTATGGTTGGGGGGAGGAAAAAAATGCACCTGGGATGGGTTGGGAAAGAGCAGGTAGCACAGGTGGGGCGGGGCGAATTGTTGCGGGCAGCGAGCAGAATGGAGCGCCGAGTAGCGGGTTGGTTGGAGTACGTCGGCGGAAGGGTGGCGGGAGGCTAGGTGGCGCTTGGTGGCGGTGCAGCTGGAAGAAATTTGCCCTGGTAAGAGCCAGCCATAAATTTGTACTGTAGGGGCATGGCCAAGCAAGCACTGGTTGAATCACCAAACAGGCGCCACTGCCGCTGCCCGTAAAGGATTTGTGCGATCAGCATCTCCCATTTCACCTGCGCCCAACGAATCGTATGCGAACGCATACTCCACAAACCAGTGGCTGCGATCCCAGGCGATTTGTGTACACCCCACACCACCCTGCCATGCGACAAGAGAAAGTTGGTTTGGGTGGAGCTCTGTTCCAGACCACCTGAGTTACTGGGCAGACAGTTTCGCAGGTGGTCGTTTCGTCGCATATTTTCTTGCCCCTTGGTCGGTCAATGGAGGCGCGCCCTTTGTTGACGGGCCGTGACGCGGTTCGTCCTCGCACAAGCCCACCGAACCTCCGCAACACACGCCGAGGTGTGGCAGAATTGCAAGCTTATTGGGATGAGGAATGTGTCGTGTATTTTGAATTGTTTACAGCCCTAATGGCTAGATCATTGTCCTGTATGACAACGTGAAAATAACTACTACACCTCTAGTCAACATTTATAAACCAGCCCTCCGAAATTGCTTTAGCTGTGTGGTATCAACAATCTAAGTGCATGTCCATACGTTAAGGTATTCAGTATCAACATCCACAACATTGATCATATACAGTGATGCATTGAGAAACAGCAAGCACTCTTGTCATGTCATGGTGCACCTTCCGTGCTGAAACAACATCAAACAAAGCCCTCAGAAACATCCCAACGTGTCCAGTCCAGTACTCCTTCAGCCCTTCCACCAGTCCATCCTTTTATGACCTGCAGGGGATGCCACTCGAAAAGCCCCAGTCCCAGCTGTAGCATCAATTTCTGTCCAGCATCCATTCCCCTCAGCTCCCTAAGACTCATCCCAACCCACCCCAAAAGCCCAGGGCAGTGCTGCATACTCTCCCTGCGATGCCTACCATCGCATGTGGGAATAAGCCAGCATCTAGGAGAGCATATAAAGAACGTGGTAGGCCATCTGTAGCAGTTCCAAGGCGCACGTGCAGTGTGCAACCCCACGCACGCACTACGCACCCACACAGGCCAGCGGCTGCATCTGGATGTCACTGTCAAGGCCCTTCCGGGGCGGGGGGCCTGCCACTAGGTTCACCTGCACGTGTAGCGGGGGGGGAGGGTGATCAAGGACATGTATGAGCGGCATGTGCATGCATCCGCCAACCAGCACATGCACACATGCGCACAGCAAGGCAGGAGTGCGAGGGGCAGGGGGGCAGGAGCGCACCTTGACAATGTCAGAGGGGGAGTTGGGCTGGCTGTAGGCCACGAGCACAGACAGGTGGAAGTCCTGCATCCACCAACAGGTTGGGGGGAGGGGAGGGGGGGAGGGAGATGGTGAAGATTGACAAAGATGGTGGAGGCAAGACAGAATATCTAGAAGAGGCAGAGGAAGAGGAGAAGCAAGGAGAGAGGTGGAGAGCGTAATACGAGCAGGCTTAGAAGTGTGGGGAGGAAGTCAAGCAGAGGTGGAGCCGGATGGTGCAACGAGCAGGGGAGAGTGCATTTGGGGATAGGGGGCAGGGGGGGGAAAGAAAAGTGGTTGCAAGTTGCAAAGGGTGATAGGGATGGAAGGAGGAGTACCCTGAAGGGATCTCCTCGCAGCGACTGCACGTAGAGGGAACTCTTGCCGCCCTTGCCCTGACACACACGCACACATGAGGACGAGGGGCAGAGGCAGGGGTTTGGGAAAAGTGATGAGGAAGAGGGGGGAATGCAGATGATGCCGGGGATGCAAGGACAGGGACACAAAAAAGAAAAGGAAGGAAAACCAAACACATGTGATGCACACACATCATGCCAAACCAGAAACACACAGCATACCCACGCACACGCCCGGCACACGCCTCCCCCATTTCCCTGCAGCACTTCCAATCTTCCGCCCCAGCCCTCACCTCAAGGGGAATGTCTCGGAGTCGCCGGCCAGTTTTAGCGCAGCAGACACGCACGACGTTCTCCTCGCAGCTGCCCGACACGATGTAGTCGCGCCCGTTCATGTAGTACGACCGCGTGTAGTTGTGCGCACTGCCCAGCGGGGCGATCTCAAACCGGTGCTGCAGCCGCCCGTCCACTGCTACATGCTGCCGCACCTGGCAGAGCAGAGTGAAAGATGGCAAGCATGGGCACGGAGGGAGGAGAGCTTTCGAATCACACGCTGATCTTCGATCCTCTAATGTTCAGTCCCCCAGTTTCTGCAGCCATACTGCCTGTGTTTCTGCATTACACTAAGAACCTGGCAGCCCCGTGCTGCACCAAGGAGAAACATCACAGGTGAAGACCACGCCCCAGTGCCCCTCTTGCCCCACCTCATTGTCCACCGCAGAGGAGAGCAGGAACTGGTCATCTGGGCTGAAGCACACCATCACATTGCCCCGGTCACTGCGCACGGAATAAATCGGCCGCACGCTCTCCCGCCCCTGCGCAAACAGCCCCCCAGCCCCCCCTCCCCCTCCCTCAGTGGAGATGCGCTGGCGCGCGTCCCAGAGCTTGACGTGGCGGTCGAAGGAGGAGGTGGCGAAGACGTGCGGCGAGTGGTGCGCGAACTTGAGCACGTTGATGTGCTCGCGGTGCAGGTTGTGCAGCGTGTGCAGGCGCCGCCCCGTGTGCAGGTCGTACAGCCCCACGTGGTTCGAGTACCTGCACCAGGGGGAGAGGAGGGATTCGTGAAGGTGGGGGGGGGGAGAGAGGGGGGGGTGGAGGAGAGCAGAAAGCGAGGAAGATATTTAGAAAGGACTCATCATCCACGCATGGACTGGGTTAATGTAGCAGCTACCAGCGGCCAGCTACACACAAACTCATGGCACATCCACCACCCAACCCCCATCCGTTCAGCCATACAGCCTTCAAACACGCATGTACCACAGGCGCACACCCTTGCAGGCCCGACAACATGCAGCCATGCTAACATGCTAGCATGAGAGGGTGAGAGCAGGGCATCGTACCCGCTGGCGAGGAAGAGGTCGTCGGTGCAATTGACGTGCACCGAGGTGAGCTGCTCAAACTCGTCGTACGTGTGGATCGCAGGGTGCCGCAGCCGACCAGGCGTCACAGGAGAGCCCCCCACTGCAGAAACCACCCCCCCCGCAGGGCCAGAACCACCAAGGCCTAGCGGACTGTCTGATACCCGCCCTCCTGTGCCGCCCCCAACTGCTGGAGCTGGCAGCACAGCAGGTGGGGTAGTCATTGCTGCTGCTGCTGGTGCCCCTGCGGCAGCAATCCTCCCACCACTGCCCGTCAGCACACCCCCACTGCCGCCGCCCACGCTGCTGCCACCGCTGCTGCCGGTGCCGCTGGTGCTGGCAGCGCTGGTGGTGGCGGTGGCAGCAGTGGAGCGAGCAATGGCAGCAACGAGGCACGCGCGCATGCGCTCGATGTCGTACAGCTGAATGGACCCATTGTCACACCCCCCGATCAGCTGCACACACACGCACATGGGGGGGCAGCGGGAAGGAAGACAAGCAGGTGGGAGAGGAGGGGGGGAGGTACGAATGAGTGGAGGGCTTGGACGATACCACTCACAAAGAAGAAACCTTGCAGCATTGAACGTAAGAAGCAACGGCGCTCTAGAAGTGAACTGCAGATTGGGCAAGAAAAGAAAGGGAGCGAAAGCAGCAGCAGTGAACAAACATGGAGCACGGTGGAAGCACAGAGAGCAGACATAGAGCACGGTGGGAAGCAGGAGCAGGCAGGGTGCGGGTGTGCCTACCCTGGAGGGGTGTCGGTTGAGCCAGCAGAGGCCGAGGATGGAGTGCGGCGCGCCGACGGACTGCACATGTCCGACAAGGCGGTCCGACTCGTGGTTGAGCACCACCACGTCTCCGTGCAGCGTGCCAAACACCATCAGGTGCGACTCCGTCGGGTGGTACTCAAACTGCCGCGGCCGCAGGCTCGACGACCTGCTTGGGGTGCGTGGCAGGAAGGGTGGGGGGAGGAGGTGGGGAGGAAACGAGTGGAAGATCAATGGGAATGTTTGGGAGATGGAAGTTGGAGGTGAAGTAGATGGTATCCGATGGGAAAGGACCATGGGGAGTGGGGTGCGCGCGAGATAAAGAGAGGAGAATGGGGATTAAGAGCAGGGAGAAGTGGAGGGCCATGGCTCACATGGACCTGGAGGTCTCCAGGCCTGCGTTGCGCAGAGGGCAGGTCATGGGGCGGCTGGCCGGCCAACTGCTACAGCCCACTCGGTTCGCGCCCAGAGCGCGCCTGTAGCCCTCCATGCTGCCGCCCTTGGCTCCGGCTGTAGCCCGCCACAGAAGCGCCGAGGGAGATTCTGAGGACACAGGGTGGAGCAGGGAGGAGCAGGGAGCAGCGAACGAGAGAGGGCGTGAGGGGGGTGATTTTCATATGACAGTTAACGGGGATTTTAATATGAGTATGCATGGTGCAGCTTACCTGGGTCCTGTTCCTCCATAGGTGCCTTGTCATGCACCCCACGCCCCGCATTGTCTCCCTCTGTGCCGCGTGCGGAGGCCCTGCTTCCGCAAACACCATCACCACCATCGGCCTCATCACCATCGTCATCGTTCATTGCATATTCCATGTCCGTCTGCCCCACTCGCTCGCTACCACTCCCATCCACCCTCTCACTGCTCATCATGCGAGCAACCCCCTCTTGCTGCTGTTGGTGTCCCCCAACCAGCTCCCCCGCTGCGGTATCTCCTGCAGACATGGCACTGCAGCCCGTCGCGCAACCAGCAGAGGCAAGGACGGATGTGGTTGCAGCGGCACCAGAGACAGCCGCAGTATCGGAGGCAGCCGCAACAGGAGCCGCTTCCGCAGAAGCCTCTCCCTTGGAGAAATTGTTCTGGCAGTGGTGTGTGCGGGCAGCAACAGAGGCGAGTGCTCTCAGTGGCGCCTGGACCTCTCTGCGCCTGAGCAGGTGCACCACGTTCCCTATGCAGCCCAGCCCATACGGCAGCGGCTCAAAGCTGCCCTCGCACTCGCCCTCAGCCTGCATGCGCTCGCCTGCCTTCACTGCCACATTGTCCAGCACGTCCAGGTGCGGCAGGGACGACAGCACAAACGCGCGGTAGTGCGGCGCATGGCAGATGGGCGACGAGTGCTGCAGAAAATGCGATCCTGCAGAGTATGGCCCGTCCAAGGCGCGGTACTCACTGCGAGCGCCAGCACCAGCACCAGCACCACCAGCACCACCAGCACCACGAGCACCACGAGCAGCCCCAGCGTTGGCAGCAGCAGCAGCATCTCTGCCCCGGCGACGCCCAGGTGCATCCCCCATAAGATAGTTGATTAAATCCAATTCTCGAGCTGTGAGTCCTCCGGGCATAGCCCCCGCTCGGCCTGCTGCCTCTGCCACATTTTCAGCCCTGGCAGCTGCTGCGGCGGCTGCTGCCTGTCCTGCTGCCTGCTCCCCTGCTCCGCCTGCTGCCGCTGGTATCCGCACCTCATGCTCTGACCACGCAAGTGTGCCTCGTGCGCCCCCTGTACCCGGCGCAGCAGCAGCAGCAGCTGCAGTGGTGACAGCAGCACCAGGGCGCTGAAGGAGGGTTTGACCCTGTTGGGGGCGTCTGCGGCGCAGGGCAGGTGTATGGGCAGGAGGAGGAGCACCGGGGACAAGCCCCTCAACATCCGCGCCTGTTACAGCACCGTCATTGGCTGCTGGGGTTGATGCTGTTGCCGCTGCTACAGCGTGCTCCTGCTCTCCACCTCCCTGCTGCCATGGCATGACCGCGTGACGAAGCGCACCCTCCCTGCCCTCGCTCTCCTCCGCTTCGTCCTCGCTCCCCTCCTCTTCCTCCTCCTCGTCACACGAATCCTCCTCTGAACTCTCGTCACTCTCCTCCCCCTCAGACATCTCCTCCTCCTCCCCCTCTTCTTCTTCCTCCTCCTCGTCCTCCTCGTCCCTAAGATCCTCATCCCCAACCACACCGAGCTCCCCATCCTCCTGCGCACCGAACCCCATGCCTGCTTGGTCACCCGCGAATGCGAAGTCCAGCGCGTCGTCTCCCTCGCCCTCCGCGGGCCCCTGCTCCCCCCACGCGCGCATCACCTCGTCCATCTCCATGCCCTCCCGCACCAACTCCTCCAGATCCTCCTCCTCATCCATCCACCCTCGCAATATCATCTCCTCCCCAACGTCACCACCACCACCAGCGGCACCAGCGGAACGAACGGCACCAGCAGTTGTTCCCGCCACCTCCCTTCGCGCGCCCTCGTCCCCGCCCGCTACATCCCCAGCCAGCCCCGCTGCCAGCTCCGCGCACGCGGACGTGGTGCCGCGGCAGCACAAGCAGCGCTGGAAGCGGAGCTGCTTCAAGAGGGGGAGCTTAGCGAGCGCGGCAACGGTGGTCCAAAGGTTCGAGATGCCCGTGGCGCACAGGGAGAGCGACGTGAGCGCGGGCGCGTTGGCGAAGCAGCCGTCCGGGAGGCACGTGATGGCGGGGTTGTGGTCGAGCACCAGGGAGCGCAGGCGCGGGAACGCGCCCACGAAGTCGAGCTTGCGCACGCGGCAGAAGGAGAAGCACAGGCTGCGCGCGTTCAGCCCGCGCTGGAACAGATCCCTGAAGGGAGAGAGAGAGACGGACGGACGGCGGAAAACGGAAGTAGAGGTTACTAGGCGGGTGAATGGCTGAAGAAGCATGCTCCTGAAAAGCATGCTGCTGCAAATGCAAACCCTTTGAACTGCGTTCGTGCGTGCGTGCGCGCGAGCGCGCCTCAGGGCCTGTGCGACGCACCTGAAGGCGTCGCGGCCGAGCGGGATGTTGGAGAGGTTGGCGTGCTGCAGGTGCGGCCCCACGGCGCGGAGCAGGAAGAGAATACCGTGGCCGCTGACCGTGGGCACTGCGTCCGCACTGCTGACGTCCACGATGTGCAGCTCCGGACACCCCGTCGCCAGGAACTCGCCCAGCGTCACCGCCACCGCGTCCGACAGGTGCGCCAGAGGCAGCTCCACTGCCAGCTGCACGGACCCGTCCTCCGATATGCGGTGAGTGGGCTGAGCGGCGGGAGGGGATGGCGAGACGCGGGACAGGGAGGACGGGTGACAAACGGTGGTGAGGACGGGATGAGGAATGAGGCTGGGAGGGAGTCAAGTTGAGGGAAAGCGCATGAGGCGCGAAGGAAGCGAGGGGAATGGAACTTACTGACGCGAGAGCGCTGAGGATGTCAGGCGGTGGGTTGATACCGAACGACGAGCAGCATTGCGCGTATCTGCGGGTGCACAGCATGGCACATATTAGACCGACGCATAAACGTACACGGAAACGTTCAGGCATGTCGGAATCCGCTCTGAACAACGACTAGTGGATCCGTGGATTGAAGACGAACGCAACATAGAACCATTACTCCACCTCACCTTTTGTCAAAATCTACACCAGCCGTCCTCTGCTCCCTCGAGGCTACACGTTCTTTCCCCTCCATTTAACCACGCTCACTTTCGGCGTCCGTCCCACCCCTCTCTTCGTCGTAGTGCTCGTCAATCGACCAGAGGAAGCAGCCACCGGAAAAGGCGAGCAGAAAGGCACGGAACCTCAGACTCCTAGAGAGCCGAAAGCTTCTGGAACCAAGTGAGTCCTGCAGCCTGGAAGGACGAGAAGAGAGGCAGAGAGACATATCTGAGAACTCCAGCAAGGAGCACGTGGGCTCGGCTTCGATAAAGGGATGGAATGACAAGGAGCAGACGGAATGCCGAGCACAGAACGAAGTGCGGACAACACCCGAAATGGCGGTTGAACGCGTCAACTGGGGGGGAGGACATGGAATTCCGAACGAGCGAACGGAATGAGAAGGTCACAGGGGAACCACTAGTGCGGAATCTGACAATACGGGGAACACTCGGCATTGCCGATCAGAGTGGCTCGCCTGGCTTGCGGATTCCGTAACATTAGGTCCAGCCAAATAGTTGTTACCCGATAGTTGAAAACTTCTGGAAAATGGCTCGAAGGACACAGCCCAAGTGATTGGACACAGGCCATACACACGGCCCTGAAACCGGCTGGAGAGCGTTATCACTCCATCGCGGAACGACCCATTTCGAGGGCAATGACTCGACACCGTGTTAAGGATGTCTTAACACGCATCCGCTGGAAGTAATACCTAATCCTCTCGTGGACTGCGCTGTGAAACGCTCGTACCTCGGCAGTGGCCGGAGTTTCCCAGAGGCAGCTGTTATGAGAAAGCTTAGAAGCGGAATCGGGCTCAGGCCCACGTTCCAGAGCCAGCTTAGAAGACCGAAGAGGAGCAGGGGCGTGCAATAAGATTAGTGAGCCTTCGCAAGGCTGCTGTCGGCCGGACCGTGAGGCACGGAGCAGTGACAGGCGGGAGTGGTGCTCGTGAGAAGACAGGAAGATTACAACACTCAGTTCAGTTCCCGACGATCGCGCGATCGTCGAGCAGAGCAAATGGTTTCCAGAGGTAACTAGATGGGGAAATCCACCCAGCACAGTGAGATGGAGCTCTCAATGCGAAGCCGGGAGCAAGGGAGCTAGGCTGCTGGTCAGACCTAGGGATAGGATGAGAGCTTCAGCACTGTGCATTCGGGTCAGAAATGACATGATGATGGCGATGGCGCGCGGAAGAACCTTGGCGCACGGCTCTTCGAGTTTGTCGCCCCAGGCGCAAGCTTTTCCCCTGTCTGGTTGGGGCGGGCGGGAAAACCCGCACAGACGTTGTATGGCGGAAACTGCGACACCTGGTTGGCTGTCACGACATCAGAAAAGTGCCCGGCGAAAAGATCGGACGGACGATTGAGTTTCACGGCCACCCCCTCAATCAACCTCATCAACCGATAATACTGTACAGTAGCTGGACAACAAGCCTGAGGGAAGGAGGATGGTGGGGACAAGCTTGTTTAGCGGGACGATATGCTGACTGCAGAAAACATCTAATTGGACGCCATTAAAGTTTCCACTAGTACCTTTCATATTGTTTTGAGCACACTTAAAAAATATGAGTGGCACAATATTAATGAATTTTCTTGCAAAGTACATCTTTCAAAACAATTAGAGCAACGTAGGGAGTATGAAACATGCTCAACACTTGGCTTGGACAAGTGGAAGGGGTTATACAAATATTTACAAATCCTTGGAGCCTCTTCCCTTAAGAACAAACTTTCGTAACCCTGGAATATGAACGTTGCACATGTAGTTGTGCCAATTAATGTTGCGCACATTGAAGTCAAATTTTTGCTGCTCTTCCAATGACATCTTGGCGAAAAGATCTTCGGTGTTGCTTGAATCGAACCTACATGAAGAATTGGTTGCAAATTAGGCTTCCATGGAAGTGGATGTATTATTGATGGATATGAATGACTTACTGTGCCTCGTAAGTAGTATACGGGGAGTAAATCTTGGCGAAGTGCATGAGTGATTCAATCGTCTTCATCATGATTGTCGTCCGTCGCGCTGTTGCAGTTCCCTTTCTTGGGAAGAGCTTCATCACCTGCACATGCCAAAAGACCACACCCGGTATGATTAGCAATATAGAAAGCGGAATTAGGTAAATATGGACACATGGCAAGAGAGGGGGAGAGGGAGTTAGGGAGGGACGATAAGCGAGAGACTAAACAAAATTACCAGCATGGGCAGCTGATATCTGATCCAGAGGTCCAGCAGGAACAGCGGGGGAAATCTGAAGACTCTAGCAGGTGCCACGGCAATGGGCGACCCATCCTTCTGCTTCATGGGCTTGGCAGCAAAATGCTCCGTGGCAGCATCAGCAATGGTCTTCACGTGCAGCGGGTTAGCCACTGAAGTCGTCACGTGGTACACACAAGGCAGGTGAAAGCCAGAGGGGGAACTGGTGCTGCTGGGGCTGGAGTGATTGGATCCTTGTGGGGGCAGCTTGGCATTGCCAGCAGCAACGGCTATGATAGCGTTCACTACAAAGTCGACTGGGATCTGAAGGCGTGGGAGGGGACAATAAAAGCAGGAAGCATAGCAGAGGTTGATCAGCTGTGTGCTGTATGCGAGACGTTGCTGATCAGAGTTTCACTCACTCAGCAGGAACTGGAAAATGCACGAGAGGTGGATGGGAGTGGGGCAGTGAGTGAGTGCACTCGGTGAGTGTGTACTCACAATGTCAGCCACCCCGTAGGCGAGAAATCCAGCCATGGCGCCCTTGCCATATGCCATGAGGATGGGGTCCGCCATGCTGCCACATAGAAAAAGACGCGCACCCGAGAGGCACGGGTGAGGGGGGGGGGGGAAGGGCAAAACCATTCAGCAAACTCACAATGATTGGCAGACATGGCAAAGAAAAAGGAAAGGAAGACTACAGCGTGATGAAGCAGCAGTGTGCATGCGCCTCCCTCCGTGCACTCACCGCATGCCCTCCATCCATCCCGCCATGGGCTCGCACAGAGCACTCTCCACTATGCTCGGCCGCACCACCACCACCGGCACCACCCCCACGTCCTCGTCCCCCTCCCCGCATTCCCCTCCCCTGCACTGCTCCCCCAGAGCCATCTCCCCCATGGCCTTGGACAGCACGTACGCGTCCTGCCACCCAAACACCTGCGCCCTGTAGGGGGGAGAGTGGGGGGGAGGGGATATGTGGGCAGGGAGAAAGGTACAAAATGAGAGCCGAGGCAAGTGCGGAACAGGGATATGCACGCAAACGTTGCAACAACCACCCTCACTCAAATTCACACCCACACCCTCACACACTCTCCTGCACTCGAATTCACTCTGTCCCTCAGCCTGCACTCATCATCACCCACCTGGCACGCCCCAGCGCGGACATGTGTGCGTTGACAGCCGCAGCCACCTCGTCCTTGCTCGCCCCCCGCGCTACAGCCGCCGCCTCCACCGCCGCCCGCTCCCGGTGCGCGAACGCCACTTCGCCGTCCACATCCAGCGCAGGGATGCCCGCTGCTGCAGCCGCCTTTGCTGCAGGGGTGGAGTGGGGGCCGGGCGCGAGCATCTCAGCTGCGATGGTGTCGCCGGGCGTGAAGGCGCGCTCCATGGCCCGCCCCTTGCGCTTGCCGTTCACGTAGGCTGCCATGGAGGAGGGTGCAGAAGGGGTGGGGTGGGGGAGAGTAAGAGGAGAAGAGAAAAAAAGAGGGAGGATGGGTTAGGGGATTGAAAGGAAAGGGTAATGGAGGAGGAGGTGGGGCAAGTGGGCGCCACAGTCAGAAGCAGAAAAAAGCCGCGAACCACAGCGCATCATTTGTTGGCATCCCGTTGAGCCACTCACCAGTGGATACATGCAGCAGCAGCTGCAGGTGCCTGCACTGCTTGGCGAACGCCAGCAGTCGCCTCGGGCCGAGTGTGTTGATGTTCAGAGCCACGTCGTACCTGATGCACTCACACAGGCACAACAAACACACACACGCACGGCAAAGCCAGCAACAAATCACTTGCTGTGAGAATTCTTGGCAAGCTCGATAGAACGCACGCTGGAGGATCTCCAGAATCCAAGCCAGCAGGGTGAGGAGGTTGCGCACCGGGCGTCAAAGTCAGTAGTGGCGGCGGAGTTGATAATGAAGTCCACTTTGTCAGACAGCGCAGCCATGGTGACGGCGCTGAGCCCCAGGTGCTCCTCGCCGATGTTGCCGTCCACAGCCGTGAGCTTGCCGCCCATGAACGCCTCGTAGCCCTCGCCGTGGCGCTGCTTCAGATGCGCAAAGATGGCCGACGGGATCACCTGCCGTGCGGCGCAGGGAGAGAGCATAAGTACCAGAGCGGAGTGAGCCACGAGGGGAGAGTGGGGGCAGAGGGGATTGAGTCACTACAGCAGACAAACCATTGCACGGTGATGGAAACGTGTGGTGCAGTATGCATGGGGGAGTGGATGAGCGTGCATGGGCATGCACCTGCGAGGTGAGTCGGTGGTGCGCGGTGGTGTCCCCCCGCGGTTGGATGAGCAGGTACAGCTGCCCCACGTCCGGCTGCTCGCGAAGGATCTTCTCCACCAGAGCTGAGCGGAAAGCAAAGAGAGCAAGGGGAAACGAGCGAGCGAAGGAGAGATCAAGCACAAGTGTGCTTATGAGTCTGTCAAATGAGTCTGTGCACATATATGCAAATATGAAAGCATATCTTGGAGTCGGAAGCCGCGCGCACCTTTAGCAAGGAAGCCAGTGGCGCCCGTGATGAGGATGTTCTTGCCCTTGAGGAAGGGGATGATCCCCAGCCCCTGCTGCCCTGCCTGCTCGCTGCCCGCGCGCTGCTGTGTCGTCACCGTCGCCCTCACAGCAGCAGCACCATCAGGTGCAGCGGTGCTGCTGCCATCACGCGTTGATACAGCGGTAGCAGAGAGGGGGCCAGCAGTAGCCGAGGTGGAAGAGACAGCACCACGACGCATGCTGCTGTTGCCATCGTTGCCGCCCATCCCACCGCTGCTCCCTGCATCGCCAGCACCAGCAGCAGCACTTTGAGAGAGCGACGACGGGCCGATGACAGAGTTGGGCGCCACTGCAGGAGACTTGCTTGACTTGCCGTTCACTAGAGCAGCCGTCACGACTGCCGGGCCAGCAGTGGCTGTAGCAGCGGTCGCAGTGGCTGTAGCAGCGGTCGCAGTGGTTGTAGCAGCACCCGCCATCCCATCCACACCAGTGTTTTTATCTGGGCGAAGGAGAATCAGCCTGTCTGCAGCAGCGCTCCTGCTGGGATCCGCAGCAGCAGCTGATGGCGATGACGACGGGGGCGATACCATTGCTTCTGCTGCGCTCACATCCACACGCACGTCCCCATCCGCATCCACGCACAACGCGATCTCGGGCAAGATATTCGACTCCAGCACGGCTGCTGAGAGCGGGTCGTTCCTTCTGCCTGCGCTCTGCCGGCTCGCCAGCCCTGCTATCAGCGCGGACCATGCGGCGTCTTCGTCCTTCGCGAGATAGTCCCCACCATGAGCAGCAACTGCATCCTCCACTCGGCTGTCCAGAGGAGCCGCAGCAGGCGTGGCGGCGCTATGCGGCGCAGTGATGTGGGTGCTATTGGCAGTGGGATGGAGACCATGGTCGCCGCCGTGGCCGCCGTGACCGCCGTGGCGGCCATGGTGGCCCTGGCTCGCAGAGAAGAACTCTCGCGCTGCGCGCTTCAGGCTGTCGCTCGCTCCTACGCCTCCGCCTCCGCCACCTATTGGCCCTCCCGGCGGGGGGGAGGGCGCCGCCTCGCAGCGAACAGGTCCCAGTCGCGATCCGCCACAATTCACGTTCTTCTTGGTGGAAAAAGACGAAGCGGGGGTGCTCCCGAGGGGCGTGGCTCTCGATCCAGTGTGCCTCGCTGACAGTACGGGTGGCGAGACGCCAAACTGCCGCTTTTTCAGCGCCAAGTGACCGTTGGGAACGTGCGGATTTGTCGCGGGGATGGAGGAGGACTTTATCATGGACGCTGCACACGAGCTGGAGGAAGCCATGTCGTCAAAATGAATGTCGCCCCGCACTTAGGAAGTAAGTATATGATTTCCGTGAGCAGAATCTCGAGCGCAGCTGTATCTTAGAAGAAGATGCGCCGTACTGTTGCCAATGCCCACGTGCAAGAAATAGTAGCCTAGGAGACGGCGAATGCGGCAGATGAAGGAAGAGGGCTCGTGAGGCGCAATATATGGAGGTGACTGGAGGAGGAAATTGCCAGGGTTGAGAGGGGGGGTGTCGCATGCGCAGTGATCCCAATGCGCGCTTCGAACCTGGGCGTGAGAATGACTGGTTGGGTTTGTCGTACGGGAAAATCGTCACGATCAAGCGACATCGTATGGGGCGCAGCGAACTGTGCAATTCAGTTTGAGCAGCAGAATGTCGAACGGAATTGGGGCATCCCACGGGCAGATGTTTGCCCCGGTGGAGTCAAAGTCAACTGGCCAGATACTTTCAGGGGCTGCCCGCGCCAGTCAACAACACCTCTTTGACGCTGACTGGGACAAACACTGCGATTCAATTGGTACAGTCCGAAAACCTTGCGGAGTTCACGATGAAAGCGAAACATTTGCACGTGACGATCGGGCGCGAGAAGTTCGTTTGACCTGAGAAGAAAATGCTCACCCTTGACGAATCACGATGCGCCTATGAATTCACAACACACCTGTAATTTTGATGTGACACTTCGCGTTGCGAAAAACACCGCCCCAGACGTGATGATCATACGGACCACGTTAGATAATCCAGATATGTGACGTGATGGCAACCTTTCGCCGAGATACTGCTCACGATTAGTGTTACGGATGCACAAAATGGTGATCATGACCAGGAAATAAACCTCTACAGTCTATAAATAAAGGAACGCTTAGGAGACATGAAATGGAAGATGGGAGGAATTAAAGCCCCCAAATTGTTCATACGCAGTGCGTATGAACTGTGAGCCTCGGCTTGGACGAAAGACACAGACAAATCGTGAGGGTGTTTCATCTCGCGAATTCGCAAGTGTTAGATCGTCCGATTTGCAAGCGGGTAGTGCGACGGCTGAGATTACATTTCGATTGACTTGGGGAAGCACTTTACTTGAGCGCCGTCAGATGGAAATCCCTAAATATTGGACGGCTAAAAAACGTGAGGCACTGGGTGTCCCAAAATACGTTCCACACTGAACTTGAAAGCCAGCCCCGAGTGACGCGAGTCACGTTACCCCCATCCTCACCCACGAAAACGTGACTTTCAAACGCAGTGCGTTTGAAGGTCGCGCCTCGCAATTTGGGCCGCGGGCTTTAAACTCTTCAAATACACCGAGGCACAGAATGTAATATTCACGAAAAGGTACACTACAAGTCTAGCTACATATGAACAGTGAGTGGCATGACGTGACTGACCATAGGAATCGGGTGGTGGTGCGCAAATGGTGGGTGGCGATTGGCAGACGACCGAAGCAGATGGTGGTGGAAGGAGGGAGGTGGTCGAAAGGTGGTCGGAAGGTGGTCAGAAGGTAGCGGGGAGCGGAAGGTGGTCGAAAGGTGGTGGGTGTAAACATGGGCCGAAGGAAGTGGATGTGAGTGGTGGTGGGAAGCAATGGCGCTGGAGACACCTACAATCTGACCAGGAGAAAAGACGAACTGTACAAACATGTGAAACCCCCTCATACATGCTTCAGTTGCATGCTCCCGGAGTAAGAACCGACATGGGAAAGGCTCCCAAAAGGCAGAGCAGCATGTGACATGGTCCAGCATGTCACTGGTTGGCTCTGTTCTTGATGACCACGAGCACCACCACCACGACCAGGCTCACAACTACTGTCATGAGCCCGGCAAGACCAGACGCACTGCTGCCACCAGCTGCACCTGTAGCGCTGCTGCCGCCGCCAGCAGCAGCAGCAGCAGCAGCAGCAGCATCAGGTCCAGCACTGCCTGCCGCTGAGGTGGAGGAGAGAGACGCAGGCAGGAAGGCGGTCCCAAGGAGGTCTGAGATGGCGTCAACCACAGAGCGCATCTTACCCAGAGCAAACGACAAGTACTCCCACAGGGGCCCACCGCCCCCTGCATTGATACCTCCACGGGCATTACCATTGGGAACAGCACTTGCAGACTGCTGCTGCTGCTGTTCCAGACCAGCGTCTTCAGTGACCTCCGTAATCCTGTTGACTCCTGGCTCAAGGAGAAAGGAGATGAAGAGGGGGGACAGAGAAGGAGCTAAGGCGCCGTGAAGCATGCAAACCAAGGGAGGGGGGCAATAGAAGTGGGAAAGCTACAACCGTGCCCAAGACCGCGAGAGAGAGGCAATGGGGAAATGGGGGTTGGGGGAATGGGATGGGGAGCGTAGAGAGGCACAGCGAGCTGCCCCTTGCGCTTTCCCTACGGCCCATACGCATGGGCCCCATTGCCCAGCGTTTGGCTCCCACTACCTGGCACCCGCACGCGCTCACCGGGCATGTGGACGCCACCTCTGCTGCGGATGAACTCCTGCATCACGGGGTCGTTCATTATCGCCATGAACACCCCCGGACTCGACGCCAGACTGCGAACCGTCTGCGCCACATAGGGAAGGTGGGGTCCGGGAGGTGAGAGAGGGGAGGAGGGAGGCGGAGGGGGGGAGAGAGGGAAAGAAGGCGGGGGGGAGGGGAGGACGAGAGGGGAGGAGGGTGGGAAGGGGAAGAGGGGAGTAAGAGGGGTTCGGAGATGGGAAACGGGAGAGGGGAGGGGAAGGGGCGGAGGGCGACGTTGAATCTTCTACTTGAGCGAGGAGCGCAGGCGCAAGAGTGAGCAAAGGGGGATGCCGTGGCGGTAAGGGTGGAGGTAAGCAAACGTCTGAGGAAGAACTCACCGCCACAGCCTCTCGATCCGCCTCCACTTGCGCCAGAAGCATGGCGATGGGGTTCTGCTGGTACTGCTGGATCTGCTGCTGATACTGCTGCTGCTGCACCACCCCTCCCCGCTGCTGCACCCGCCCGGTGACAGCAAGCGCTCCGCCCGCAATCTGCTGCCACGCCGCGTCAGCAGCCGACACGCGGGCCACCTGCAGCGCGCGCTCCGACGCCGCCATGGACGCCGCGGCGTCGTCGCCCATGCTGTCCCACGCGCTCGCCCTCTCACTCCCCCACTCGCTCCCCCACCCGCTCTCCCACGTGCTCTCCGTCATGCTCTCCTCCTCCCCGGCACGACTCGTCGCGGCAGATGCAGCACCGGCAGCAACACTCGCACGGGTAGCAGCACCACCAGTGACAGCGGAAGAATGAGACGGGCGAGGCGGCGGCATCATGGTGGAAACCACCTCAGCCCACGCGGCGTCCGTCTCCTCCCTGCTGGGAGGCGCCAGAGAAATCACGCGCGCGCCCCCCCGCTGCCTCCCCGCTCGAGCTGCCCCCGGGACGAAGGCGCTGGCGGAATCCGCGGGTTGCGGAAAGGCGGGGAGCGTGGGGGAAGCGGGCTTGGGGATTTCCTCCCAGCTGCCGTCGAGCGGACGAAGGGAGCCATTGAAACCGAACGGGACCGATCCGTCGCTCTGAATGCACATGCACGGGGAATGGGGGAGGGAATCGACGGAAGAGAAAGAACGCAATATATAATCTTCACGTAATGGCAACACAGAAGTTTCAGGAAGTTTGGGGAAGGGACGATAATAGACCGAAAATAGGAGACATGGAAGATCCATGACTTGCTGAAAAGGCACCTTCGGACAAAGCATTTGGCCCTAAGAAAATGAACTCTCGACACAAGATAGGAGATGGTGACCAATATTTAATATCGTGGAGAACGATAGAAAATCGTGACACCAGTTCAAGATGTGTGCGATAACTGGATACCGATAAATGAGGACGTGCCTGAACTGCTGGCTCTGCGAATGCCGTGCTCAGCCCCACACCGGTTGCGGAAGCAGCGGCGGTGGTCGCGGCAGCGGACGCCGTGGCCTTCGTGGCAGCGCGAGTGGCGGCACGAAACATGGCTGCGGATTGATAGATGCGGGCCAACCCACACTAGAGAATGACACGGAGTGTGCTTCTTATGGAGCGAAGATACAGGCCACTCTCAGCTCAAACGAGGGGAGGAGCCTCCCTCCTATTCAACTCAACCCAACCCAAAGCAAGCTGCGCACGGCAGCACGTACTGTTCACAGGTTTCACACGACACCAGCAGGGAATGTGTTGGACCAATACGAGAGGCAGTAAGGGGGAGAGCGGGGAGGAGTCGCTAGGGTAGCGCAGCTGCAAATGCAAACACACACGGCGGAATGACGAGGGGAAGAACAGAAAGAACATCATGCGCGCACACAACCAATGGGAATTACCGTGGGAAGGGCAGGCGCCAACCTAGAGGTGAGAACCAATGGAATGGGGGCTATCCATGTCATCATGCACGCCGCTCCACATTGCGTGATAAGCAGGGTGACAGCCATGGAGGGATGAAGGAACTCGACAAAGGATGCTGATGCGTTAGCATTTGTTCTGCTCAGTGGTAGTTCATCTCTAACAAAATCTTACAAAGTGGGGATGTTGTCACCAACAATGTTGCATTGGATTCAATCCGTACATTCATTGTTTTATCAGCTGAGTACGAGAGATTTGTCATATTATATATCTTGAATATTGCAGTAAGTGCATTTGTCATTGGGTCCAGGATCAAGAGTCGATGATTGAGTAAAGTAAGCAAGTCTATGGAACTTGAGCATCTCTTCAATACGAGAAAACAACTAACAATATGTCAAAACGTTGAGTTTTGTTGAAGTATAATCGACCGAGTTTACTTATGCATTCCTGATATAACACTTAGACTGTACTAGTAGCGTGATACCTCATACGGAAGGACGGGCTGTCAACATATATTTTGTGTATGTTATAGACTAGATATGTCCATACTCATATAGAGTACAACACCTTAGGTTATATTCCATTGTACCCCATCATTCTAGTAAAATTTTTACTATAAGATGGTATCACACTAGGTTAGGATCCCGCCCACCCGCGCTTCCGCCCTCGTCCTAGCCTAGCCCAAGCCACCCGTTGCTAGCCACCCGTTCCTAGCGGCCCGTCGCTAGCCGCCCGTCGCCCGTAGCCGCCGGCTGCCGGCTGCCCGCTGCCCGTCGATCGCAGCCCGCTGGCCGCCTGTCGCCGCTGGCCGCCCGTAACCGCCAGCCTGCTGGCCGCCCTTAGCCACCAGCTGCCCGCCGCCCGTCGCTGCCGTCCGTCGCCGTCGGCTGCCCATAGCCCGCTGGCCGCCTGTCGCTGCCCGTAGCCGCTGGCCGCCTGTCGCCGCTGGCCACCTGTAGCCACCAGAAGCCTGTAGCCGTCAGCCCGCTGGCCGCCCTTAGCCACCAGCTGCCGGCCGCCCTTCGCTACCGCTCGTAGCCACCAGCTGCCCGTAGCCCGCTGGCAGCCTGTCGCTGCCTGTAGCCGCCAGCCGCCCGCCGCCGCTGGCCGCCTATCGCCGCTAGCCGCCTGTCGCTGCTGGCCGCCCGCTGCCGCCAGCCGCCCGTAGCCGCTGGCCGCCCGTAGCCACCAGCCGCCAGTAGCCGCTGGCCACCCGTTGCCGCCAGCCGCCCGTCGCCGCTGGCTGCCCGCTGCTGCCAGCCGCCCGTAGCCGCTGGCTGCCTGTAGCCGCCAGCCTTCAATAGCCGCTGGCCGCCCATCCCCGCTGGCCGCTCGTTGCCGCCAGCCCGCCTGTAGCCGTGTGCCCGACTGTAGCCTCCCGCCCGTTGCTGCCAGACGCCTGTAGCCGCCAGCCACCGCCCCCCCACCCCGCCAGCCTTGACTTCCCCTCTGAGCCGACGCTCTCACCGGCAGTCTCCACCGCTGTCTACCGTACTTCACCACTCTCCACCGCACTCCACTGCTCCCCACCGCACTCCACTGTACTCCACCGCTCTCCACTGCCCTCCTCTTCTTGTCAGTGGCAATCAGCTACTGCAGCCATGGTGATGGCGGACTCTCTGCTCCACCTGGACCGTTGAGTTTGAGGGTCGGGCCGTTGAGTTTGAGGCATGGATCATTGACCTCCGCCACCAGCTGATCAGCCAGCGCCAAGACGACCACTCCCTGGCCGTTCATGTCGACGGTAAGCTCCCTCGCCCAGCCCTGCCCGCTGCCGTCCTTGACGCCCCCACGTCTACTGAGCGTGAGGCTGTTGTCGCTGTTGAGCTTGCATGTGCTGTCTGGGATTCGCGCGACACCGTTGCTCAGCTTGCCATTAGTTACGCCTTCCCCCCGTTTGAGCATCCCCGCTTTATCGCTATCGCAAACGCTAAGGAATACTTAGATGCCGTCATCGCACGCTATTCCACTCCCGCCTCAGCCTCTGCTGGCCGCCTGATCCTCCCCATGCTGTTCCCTGACCTTGCGTCCTTCCCCACTGTCGCTGACCTTACCACTCACCTCCGTGCACTGGAGACTAGCTACCCGCACCGCTAGCACTGAGGCACAGCTCACTACCTTCCCGCCGCCAGTTTGCGTTACCCTTTACCTGACTGCCACGCGCTTGCTTGACCGCCTAGCCACTGCCCGCGACCACTTCTTTAGTCAGCACCCTGGTGATCTCATCCTCACTGCCTTTGTCACCGCCCTATCCGCGATAGAGACCCGCCAGCACACTATCGCTCAGTCTAGCGGTACAGCACCGGTCCCTATCTGCTAGGGCTGTGCTCCCTCCCAGTGCACTTACTTTGACATTTCTCCCCCTGTTGCTGAGATCGCCACTGCTGCTAGGACCGCCACTGGCCGCCTCAGCACAGCAGCGTCCGGGTAAGGGGCGCCGCCCCAAGGCGAGGCATAGTGGAGGGAAGGGTGGTGGGGGTGGTGGAGGTGGGGGCGAGGACAGTTGTGCAGGCAAGGTGACCGGGGCTTGTTCCCCATAGCAGCAGCAGCAGTCGCAGCAGCAGGAGTAGCCGCCATAGGGACCACCGCCGTTGTGGTGGCCTGGTGGCGCTGATGGTGGTTGTCACAGGATCGAATGACTCGAGGAAAGGTTGCACTATCGATCAGTACAAGGCGCTTTTATACTTCCAGAGTACATCAGGTAACCAGGTTTATCTTATCCTGAGGGAATAGACCCTTGTAGAAGATAGAATCACCCTGCGTATAGCCACGCGAGGCTATTGGCTTTAAGGGATTACGGCAGGATTACGCCAGTTAGCGCACCAGTACATCCCAAGCCTGGTCGGTGATATAATTATAATAGTAGGATAAACCAAAGGTTAATGGAAAATGGAGAATAGGAAATCAAATGAGATGGGATAAAAAGAGAAATGAAAGAGGAAGGAAATAAGAAAAGGGACAAGTGGTGTAACGGGATCGTACTCTCACAGTGGTGGTGGTGGTGGTGGTGGTGGTGTGCCGCGCAGCTCGGAGTCGGATGGCAGCTCCAGTGTGGTCACTTGCAGTACCAGCTTCACACCGGACCCCGCTGCGGCACCGTCTGCGACCGTCCCGGTCACATCGGCGCCCGCTGCTACCACCGCCTTGACGAATGTCACAGGATCGAATGAGGTTTGCTCAATGTTCCACTATATATCAGTACAAGGTGCTTTTATACTTCCATAGTACATCAGGTAACCAGGTTTATCCTATCCAAAGGGAATAGACCCTTCTAGAAATAGAATCACCTTGCGTATAGCCATGCAAGGCTATTGGCTTTAAGGGATTACGACAGGATTACGCTAGATATAGCGCGCTGGTACATCTCGAGCCTAGTCCGTGATATAATCATAAAAACAGCATAAACCAAAGGATAATGGAAAAGGAGGAATAGGAAACCAAATGAGATAAGATAAAGGCCAAATGAATCACGATAAAACGAGGGATGAAATATACATGGGAAATTGGTGTAACGGTGTCGTACTCTCACACTTCCCCCCTCAAAGCAGGTTGGTAGAAGTGACAAGCATTACCCATGTCGAATTCAGAGACACGGCGTCAAAAGGATCATAACCCTTCCAGCAAAGAAAAATCTCCAGAGTGACGGTGACGGTGTCCCAGCACGTAGTTGTCCCATGGCATGGACGAACACATCGGCGACATTGGTTGGCATTCGGTGTATAGCGTGTTTGGTCATCATAGGGTTTAAGAAGCTGGTATGGAAGGCGTTATGGATCTTCTAAGTGGCTGGTAGGCGGAAGCGAAAGGTGACTGAAGTGACATTTGCTTCACGAGGATAGACCCGCAGAAGCAAGGATGGTGTGTATCATTGTCAGTGATATATGGGCAGGTGCAGGTCGTAGTTGGAGATGTGAGTGGTTGGAACAGTGTGCTATAACGTGCAGATGAATGACTATGTTGTGTGCTCTGTGCATGCTGTTACCCGCATCTGGTCCACGTGTGAAGATTACAAAGTCTTGGTGGTATGGCAGTCGTGTCATAGTATTGCTTCTGTAGCAGTGTTATATCCGATACATGCAGCTTCTGTCGAATGCTGGTCCATGCCTTGGTGTTGTCGCGAGTCGTACCCTCTCGGCATCGTAGTGCTACGGGATGGAGAGCAAAATCACTAGTAGTAACCCTGTTTACCACGCAGTCTGCTAGTCCCACTACCTTGAGTACAACAGTGCATGCAAAGTGCTGCTCAGTGTATCCCTTCTGTTCAGAACCATGCGAGGGGCTGGTAACAAAAATGCCGAGGTGGTAACTTCCACAATCGGTGCCAAAGTAGTTTCCCTCGGTGGTTGCTCAAGCAAGGAATCTCAGTTGCGTAGATATCTCACGGTGATGGGTCTGGATGTATGAGAATGTTAGGGGTATTCCCAGAGAATCCTCTCCCATTTTCAAATGGCATTGCTGACAGCCAATCCAGTATGACCTTATGCACTTCCAGTTTAGCACGGAGGCCATCGATAGGCATCGGTGTCTGGGCGCACATATTGGGATAGGTCTTCTGGTGCCATGATGTGTTGTCTCATTTTGTTGCTGTCCTTGAAGTAGTGTTGATGTCAAAGACGTCGCAGCTACTCAGCATCAGTGTTGAAGTCTGCTCCATTTCGTCAAATAGGGGTGTTGTTGGAGATACGCGGATTCCACTACCCGGAGTGGCGTTGGC